TATATAAAATAACATCAAGTTGTAAAAGAAATTATCTAAAATAAGTTTTAGCTATGTTAATCATTAATAAGGAAACAATGAATAAGTATATAAATTAAATTAAAAAAAAATATATATATATATATATATATATATATATATATATATATATATATAAAAGCAAATGTAAAGATAAATGAACCACTAGGTAATCGATTCACAGCTTCCCTTCAACAGTAATACTGTTTTGTAATGCGTTATACGTATGTTACATTATTATTATTATTATTACGAATGAATGAATGTTGCTATCACATAATCGTATAATTTATATACTAATCATGGTCCGTCCAATTCTCAAGATTTATAATATGTGGCTCCGAATAGGAGCCGGATAATAATAAGAGTGTGTCAAAGGAATGGTGGAGATTCCTTTTATTTCTCCTCGTTCTTTGATTATTTCTTCTCAGTCTTCTTGGGAAGGAGCACTGCTTGGATGTTGGGCAGCACACCGCCCTGTGCAATGGTCACGCCCGAGAGGAGCTTGTTAAGTTCCTCGTCGTTGCGGATAGCCAGCTGAAGGTGACGCGGGATAATGCGAGTTTTCTTGTTGTCGCGGGCAGCGTTACCGGCAAGCTCAAGGACCTCAGCAGCTAGGTATTCCATAACTGCTGCAAGGTAAACTGGAGCTCCAGCGCCTACGCGCTCAGCGTAGTTACCCTTCCTCAGAAGACGATGAATCCTGCCGACTGGGAACTGAAGTCCAGCCCGACTGGAGCGGGACTTTGATTTTCCCTTCACTTTCCCACCCTTGCCACGTCCAGACATGATGGTGGTGGTGATGCAGTTGTTGTAGTAGTAGTAGTAGTGGTAGTTTGCTGGGGGTGACGCGTAGTAGCAGCAGCAGCAGCAGCAGCGCAGGCTACACGATCTACAAGTTGAATGACGCGAAGATTTCTCCGTTTTTCAATATTTATACCGGCAGCCGGATCAGGGAAGAAAAGCGAGCTCCCCGCTGGACCAATCAGCGCGCGTCTAATGGCGTCTGATCGTGATCCTGAGTAAGTTTGCCGCTTATAAGGAATTTTCAAGTGAACACAAAATTTATTCCCACAGTGAATACGAAACCACCACCACCACCACCACCACCACCATGCCTCCCAAAGCATCAGGAAAGGCAGCCAAGAAAGCTGGCAAAGCCCAGAAGGCCATTGCCAAGGGAGACAAGAAGAAGAAGCGCAGGAGGAAGGAGAGCTACTCCATCTACATCTACAAGGTGCTGAAGCAGGTTCACCCTGACACCGGCGTGTCTTCCAAGGCTATGTCTATCATGAATTCTTTCGTGAACGACATCTTTGAACGCATCGCCGCCGAAGCTTCTCGTTTGGCACACTACAACAAGCGTTCCACTATCACCAGCAGGGAGATCCAGACTGCCGTTCGTCTCTTGCTTCCCGGTGAACTGGCAAAACACGCAGTGTCTGAAGGCACAAAGGCTGTCACCAAATACACCTCTTCCAAGTAAGCAGCAGCAGCAGCAGCAGCAGCCTTCTTGCTTGCTTGCTTGCTTGCTTGCTTGCTTGGACTGGACTGGATGACGTCTACCAATACTCGGCTCCGTTGGAGCCACAATTTGTTAGCAAAAGAGAGACTGTTTGGACTAATTTACTTTGTGTGTGGGTCTTCTTCTATTCTCTCTCTCTCTCTCTCTCTCTCTCTCTCTCTCTCTCTCTCTCTCTCTCTCTTTTCTACTGTTATTATATTTTATCTCGCGAGGACGGAAACTTCAAGGTCAAGTAATATGTGTCTCCTACATATACACCAGTTACCTACCTACCTACCTACCTACCTACCTACCTACCTACTACATACAACACACAGTACTTCAAATGCATTCAAGAATAATAGGAACAATATCCAACAACTTTTATTTTATTTTTGTTGGTGACTATACTTTACGCAAGCGACGAAAATTTCCAAGGTTAAAGGATATGTGTTCATTACCTGCATGCATGCATGCATGCATGCACAAACAAGTTATTATTATTATTATTATTATTATTATTAACTCCGTTGCTACATACAAGACGGTTATTTTATTTTTATTATTATTGATTTATTGATTTTTTTTTTAAATAGAAGAATATCAATAACACTAACCAACAACAACAACAACAACAACAATTCTCTTTTGTGACCATACTTTGGCCCTGAAAAGGGCCTAGTTAAATAGACAGAAGAAGATATCTTGATGTTGATATCAACACACATCAGTCAGTCAGTCAGTCAGTCAGTCAGTCAAGTAACTAACTAACTAACTAACTAACTAACACGTGCTTGCTTAGGCACGCTCGCCTCGGATGCGGCGGGCAAGCTGGATGTCCTTTGGCATGATAGTGACGCGCTTGGCGTGGATAGCGCAGAGGTTTGTGTCCTCAAATAGACCGACAAGGTAAGCCTCGGAAGCCTCCTGCAGAGCCATGACAGCAGAGGACTGGAAACGGAGATCAGTCTTGAAATCCTGAGCAATCTCGCGCACCAAACGTTGGAAGGGCAACTTCCTGATGAGCAGCTCAGTGCTCTTCTGGTAACGGCGGATTTCACGGAGAGCCACAGTGCCCGGCCTGTAACGGTGGGGCTTCTTGACACCTCCGGTGGCAGGCGCGGACTTACGAGCCGCCTTCGTAGCAAGTTGCTTACGAGGCGCCTTCCCACCGGTAGACTTGCGAGCTGTCTGCTTTGTACGAGCCATGGCAGCGACGGACGACGACGACGACGAACAGAGGGGTGTGAGTGAGTGAGTGAGGCGCTTTTTGATTTCGGACTATATATACAGATTCTCCCTGTCCCGTGAGCTGAAACCCAGGCCTGTGATTGGTTGGTCAGAACGAAAACGAAGCAAGCTCCGGCCAAATGCCCGCCCGCCCGCCCGCCCGCCCGCCCGACCATCCCGTCCTCCCGCCATTTTACAACTCACTCACTCGCTTCGTCGTGTGAGAGAAAACCCAAATGTTATGCCATGGGAAGAAATTTTTTTTTTTTTTTTTTTTTTTCACACACCATAAGATTGTTTGATAGCATGGTATTAGCGGGTATT